GGATGAAATGGTGCTTTGGGATTTCCCAACCTTTGGCATCCCAGAATGTGTCCCTTGGAGTACACCAAAGAATCACCAAAGAGCACTTTACCCTGTCCTCCCATGGAGACAAAAAAACAGATTCATTTTAAGGAAAAAAATTCAATTCAAAATATTGGCAAAGTCTCCCAGGGCCTTCTCCACAGGAGGAGTTCCCAGCCAAAAATCATAGGAAAAGGAACCCTCAAAAAATAGGATTCCTGTGGTGTTGTGAGGTTTAGTGAGAAAAAGCCCCCCAAAAAATCCTAGAACAGAAGAATGATATAAAATAGGGATTTATGCTCCTTTCAGCCATGTTGGCTGCCTGCTCTGGGTCGTGTTTAAGTGTAGCCTGTGCTCTGTGTTGCACCAAAAGGATGAAGAGTTTTCCTTGGAAACCAGATTGATCCTGTTCTTGCTTTTCCTCTTTTGCACCAAACTGTAAATACTCAGATATTTATTAGAGTAGAGTACCATATTATTTTCATCATCTGAGCCAAATATCTGTGTGCAATGTACTCCCTCTCCTTTCTCTCCTGTAACTTTTGTACGGCTTAGAAATACTTTAAAAAAAAAAACTAAAAAAAAATTTTTAAAAATCCTGTTTTTTTCCTATACTTTTTTAGAGTGGAACTGGTAAATACTGTAGGTCCTTTTTTTGTTGGTTTTTTTTTTTCTTTTTTTTTTCCCTGTGTAATTAATGCACTCTACTGTTTAATGCTGTAACTTGTAGAAATATTGTATATTTATTTCCTGCTTATTTAAGTTCCTGTGAAGATTCGGTTTCCTCCCTGCCAGAAGTGTTGGATCCCCTTCCAAAGCCATCGTGGTGTGGATAACAAGATTTTAATCTTATTTTTCTCCAAGTGCCTAAGTCCCTGCTTCCCAGGAGTGATTTAGGCACATCAAAGACTTCAGCATTAGTGAAATTCAGTGGGAATTTGGAATTTGGTTCCTCCACCCCCAGGGATTGCCCCAGCCAGGTTTTCCTGGAGCAGCCATCCCATGGGATCTCGTGAATCACTAAATCATGTCGCAGGACCCAGCTAATGTAGCATTTTTGACTGCAATTTCCCTGCCTTCCTTGTGTTTTGCACTGATGAATTTTGGACAGGGTAATTGCCACTTTACTTGTGCAATACTGCTGTAAATAATTGCAAGAGCCTTGTTTTTTGGGGGTTGTTTTTTGGTTTTGTTTTTAAGAATCTTTTATGTTCTTAATATGAGTTTTATATGAATAAAAACTTTCAACTATTTGTCCTGAGTGCTGGTTCTTTGTGGGGATTGAGGTTCTCCCGGGAAGAGGATATTTGTTGCTTTATCACCAGTTTTCCCCATTTTTCACCCATTCTCCCTCCAGACCTGGTGTTCCTCTCACCCTTTTGGTGTTTCTCTCTCCATTTTGGTGTCCTGGAGCTCCAAGATGCTTCAGGCCACCCAAAATGCAGCTCTTGTAAGAATTTGCTTTGTCAGGTGCTGCCTTGAGCATTCCCAACCCCAAAAGCTGCTCCAGCTGGGAGTTATCCGGGGATTCCTTGGAATTTTTTTGTCTTTCCTCACATTTCTGTGGTCGTGGGCTCAAGCCCAGCTGATGGGCACCTTGCACTCACTTCCTGTCCCCTGCTGGTTTTACCCCAAAAGCTGCTCCAGCTGGGAGTTATCCGGGGATTCCTTGGAATTTTTTTGCCTTTCCTCACATTTCTGTGAGGAAAGCTTAAGCCCAGCTGATGGGCATCTTGCATAGACTTCTTGTCCCTTGCTGGTTTCCACTGGCATTGAAGAAATTTAGGGGGTTATTTTATGCTTTGTGTCTTGTTTTATTTTTATTATTTAATGCATTTGTTAACATTATTTTTTGTTGTGGAACATCACTATTTTTCGCCTTTTATTATTTCACATGGCAGTTTTTATTTGGCAGTTTAAAATCTGCTCCTAAAAATTTCCACCCCACCTTCCTTCTGCCTGGACCCTCCATCCCATTTGTCCCTCTGGACCTTCCTATCCCTGCACTTATTCCTCAGCAGACACCACGAGAAGGAATTTAAAAACAACCCCACTAAGTCCTACTTGATAAACAACCTAAAAAAATTCTGGATTTTTTTTTTTTTGTTTTGTTCTTGAGTGTGTTTCAAATTACAGAAGTTCCTGAAAGGGAAGTTTATTGGTTTCAGGTGCTATTTTGGGGGCTTCTTCAGCTCACAAAAAAAAGGTTTAATTGCCCAGCCAAGCCTGTGGCAGCTGCTGCCTCTGCTCTCCCGGTGCCTCTGTGGTCCTGTTGGAATTTGGGATGTGTCCAGGTGAGTTGTCACACCTGGGACACGACCCTGCTGTGGCCCAGGTTGGGAGGAAGGAGCTCGTGCCCTGCCTGAGCCCGGTGACCGCGGTGACACAACAGGAGGGGAAGCGCCGCCCCTCTCCAGGACCTGCCCTTGGCACGTGCCAGGGCCAGCTTGGCCTTGGCCAGCTCCAAGGGACTCGTGGCCACCTTGGGGGTGTTCCCAGCCCAGCCTGGCCATGGCCAGCTCCAAGGGACTTGTGGCCACCTTGGGGGTGTTCCCAGCCCAGCTTGGCTCAGGCTGGCCACAGCCCACGCTGGACATGGCCAAATCCGGAGTGGTCACGGTTTAGGTTGGCCAAGGCCAAGGTGTTCCAGGCCAAGACAAGGTGGTCGTGGCCTGGTGGTCACGGCCAAGCCCAGAGTGGTCACGGGTCCACCAAACTCAGCCACGGTGGCCATGGCCCAGGCCCACCAAAGCCACGCCACCAGCCAGGCCCTTTCCATGCTCTTAAATTCTAGGAGCTCATAAAAACCCCCACGCAATTGTTTTAAGGATGACAAATGGCCTTTATTCCTTGATAAGGAGCAAACTCCCAGATTTTATTAATGGGAAAAGCCACGGCTCCCTGTGTCCCTCAGAGCTGGACACTCATGGCTGCCATGTGCTCATGCTGTTGGGGACACACAAATCTGGGACATTCCTGCACTCCCACACTCCTGCTGGCCTCAGGAATGCCGAGCAACCCAAGCTGAGGATGAGATTCCAGTCATCCAGAGCCACGGGAGTGACACCAGGCTCTCCCCACACACAGAAATAAATAGATTTATTTTTTTTCCAATGACTCGCCACTGACCTTTCAAACACCTGTGCAGCCTAAACCAGCTAAAAATACCCCCCAAGCTTTGCATTTGATTTTCATATTGCAACAAAGCTCACTCTTTCCAGCGGCTTTTCTGCCTTTCTGGCAGCTCCTTGGATGCTTGACCTCTCCTGGGGTCACAGCCGGCGCAGACAGAGATGGGAAGTGCTGGATATCCAAAAGCAGTAAAGGGATGTTAAAGGTGCTCTAGCAGGGTTTTTATGGGGTGTAAGACAAGCTCAGGGATGGCTGGACCCAAGGGGACCTTCCTGCCACCCTTCCTGGACATCCCAAACCTGTTTTCTGTGGAATTTTGAAAAATTAAATCCTGCAACCCAAGGAAAGGCAGACAATGAGGTTACCCCTGATGGAGACACTGCTGTTCCAACAAAAGCTGGTCCTGTGCAGCCCTGGGGGCTCCACACAGCCCTTGTGGGGATACAGGGCCTGCTCTTCCCTGGATTTGATGGATTTCTCCTGGCTGGCTTTGTGACAGGCTCCTCCATCCCTTCTCCCAGGAGGACACACAGGTAGCCGGTGCTTCCCGGCCCCGCGGGCCCTTCATTAACCCACGCCTCCTCTCCCTGCAATTATGGGCAGAGTGGGCCGAGCCAACCGTGGTTTGACAATCCCACAGTCCTCCTGGAGGGTAATTAATGAAAATCAAGTTGGAAGACGGCACGGTGGCCATTCCCTAAGAATGGAAGGGATGGTGAGCGCTGCAGCTCTGCCTGTCCACATCCTCGCACCACGTGTCACCCCACACTGAAAAAGTCAGGATTTTCAGAAATCCTGGTGATTTTCACACAAATAATCCCCCTGGGATTCGAGGGAAGAGCCACGGGATGCCCCCAGTCCACATTCCAATGCCTGTCCCTCCTGGAGCCACCAGAGTCCCCCTGTCAGCCAGGGGCAGAGGGGACAGTCACACGCGCCTGCTATTACCATTCAAATGACTTATTGGCAGAAATGGGTTTAAAAATAGGGGTTTTATGATAAACAAGGTAACCTCATACAGGAAGTGAGCTGCAAATACTAAAACATGCTGTACAAAGGTGGTAGAGAACAGAGCTGCCCCACAGAACCGAAAAAACAACAACAAAACCCAAGCCCTGCAAGGGGGGAGTCCAACGTTTCCTTGGGGTTTTTTTTTAATATGTTTTTTGAAGGAGGAAAAAGGGGTGAACTGAGGGGAGGAAAGGGCTGGGGGCTGAGATAATTTCTGCTCTCCACATGGCCCTGAAATAAAGGTGATGGCAAGGCAGCTCCGCGATGTGAGCCCCGACTCTGAGCGTGCCGGGACTTCAAAAAGTGTCGGGTGCTGCTGCTGCAAAGGTTAAGAAGTTTTCCTCCCGAAACCCCGAGTGTGGGCTGTGAAAGAACATGGTAATGAAGAAAAATTTCCCCAGGGCTGCTCTTTGATTATCACCAAAGCCATCGAGTTTCAGTTTGAGTGATTTGTATTTATTTATAAAAACAAAGACGAAATAAGTAGAACGAAAACAAAAACCTCATCCTAATTTCTGAGCTGGAGCCTGATTTATTCGAGCAGAGACGTTCAGGTAGAGCAGGCTGGGTCGAGAAAATGAGCTGAGTTACCCATGTGCTGCAGGGCACATTTTTGAAGGTTAAAAATATACCACAAAACTCCCCCAAAACATATCCAACCACCCTCACCGGTGCCAAAATGCTGATTTGTGAGTCCCTGGGCTGGGCAGCAGCTCCAGACACGGGGTTCAACCCTGGATTGGTGCTGAAGCATCTCAACTCGAGTGGGAGAACAAAAGACATTTCTCTTTTCATGTGTTTTCACTTCCATCGTGAGAGAGCTGGTTAAAAAAACACACAAAAAAGCCCTTCAGTGGTCTCTCAGCCTCCACCGTGTTGTTTTTCTACCTATTTTCTGTTGATGGCTTTTGTTATCAGTCTCATCTGCAATTTGTGGCCGATTCTGACATGTTTCAGGCAGACAACGTGTTCCCAAAACTGCTTGCAACCTTTCACGAGGGTACAGCGGCGAGGACAGGCACAGCAGAACCGCAGCACAACGAGAAAAAGGGCAGATTTAACCCCAAAACCAGCCTTTGCCCAAATCTGTGTCCCCGAGGCGGGGACGAGCCCCGGGGCAGTGCTGGCTGACACCGCAGCAGCCCCTGCCCACCCCCTCGGTTTAATTGGAATTAATCCCATCTCCCCCTCGCAGGAGAACCCAAACTCAGCCCTGCGTGACCCACTGGATTTTTCCTGATCCCAAACAGCATTTCCCAGCATTTTCCCCACCAGTGGGCACCACCCCACCCCAAATACCCCCAAACACCCCCAAACTCCCCGGCTGAGCCCCGGTGCTGGCAGCAGAGCGTCGATTAAATCAGTGGGGCTGTGAGTTACCACCGAAAGCCAACGCCGCCGACCTCGCAGCCCTTCAACATTAATAGCGAAACCAAAAAAGCAAATTAATACCGCAGGAGCAAGCGGGAATTCGGCGATCTGGCTGAAATTCAAGCAGCGTCACGGCGGGGCACGCCACGCTCGGCGCGGCAGCGATCCCGGCCGGCGGCAGCGGCGGCTCGGGAGGAGCAGAGGGGTTAAACCGAGGGGTTTTGGGGGGTCCAGCCGCCCGGGAGGGCTGGAGCTGCGGCCCCGCCGGGCCGGGCTGGGCGATGCCGCAGCACCCGCGGCTCTCCCGGGAAGCGCCGCTCGGAGCGGCCCCGCTGCCCTCCCGCCGCGCAGATAACCAATTTCGGGGTTTCTCAGCCCAAGAGGCGGCCCGGCTCGGGCTGCCCGGCCGGGGGAGGACTGAGCCATGGTGAAGCCCGGCTCCTTTTCCCGAGGCTGCGGCTGGCGGCGGCGCCCGAGCCCGGCGGCGCCCGCGGAGCGGCGGCAACGGAATCGCGGAGCGGCGGCGGCGCCCGCAGCCCGGCCCGCGGGGCTCGCCGCGCACAATTTCGGGCTCCCCCGGGCAGGGAACAGCGGCCGGCTGCTCCCCCAGGAAGGGCTGCCTCCAGCCCACAGAGCCCTGCAGCCCCGGAGCTCGTCCCCGAGGGGAAATGGGGCGGAGGGGGTCCCAGCGCCCCGCTCCCCCCACGGAAATCCCCCTCGGATTCCAGCACACCGAGCCACGCCATCGGCTGGGCCGGGAAAAGGCTTAAAATAAAGAATTTCGAGTCAGTGTCTCAGGGCTCTCCCAAAGCTCTCTCCACTTCCTGTGACAAAACAAAACACGCTTCGTTTGAAACTTATTCTTCCTCTATTTAGTGCCGAGAAGCGATGACCAAAAGCACCCTCAAAACCCTCCTGGGATGCTGCTCCCTGTCTGGAGCCATCCACACCGCGGGCAGAGGACGGAGCGGGGCTGGGACAGCCTCAGCAGGGCACGAAATCTTTCATTTCAAACGATTTCATTTCAAACCCTGAGCTGGGCTGAATTTCCACGTCGCTATTTTCGTCTCGAGTCAAACGCTCCCCCCCGCCCCCCCTCCTTCCCCACGTCACTGATCTCAAACCTGAGCCCAAGGTGGCAAAAGGAGGGGACAGGGGATCAATTTGGGGTTTGGCTCATCCACTTCCCTGTGCCGGGGTCAAACTGACTGGGAATATTTGCAGAGAAGGAAAACCGAGATGAATCCGTTTGCTCTGACCAGTGTGGGGAGAGTGGAACACTGCGAGTCCCCAGAATCCCCAGGCTTTTCCCACTCCATTCACCACCAGATTTTTGGGAAGTTCAGCACCAGGAATTGGACTTGGATAATCCTTGTGTGTCCATTTCAACTCGGGATATTCCATCAGTCAAATTTCCAGCACTTCTGGGCTGCCCTCCTGCCAACACTGCTCCCTGAGCATCCCTTGGGCAGCTGAATGGAAAAACTGGGGGGAGAAAGGGAATTTGTGGCTGATCTGATTTTGCTCCATCATAATTTTTCAGTGGATGCTTGAGGGGGAATGGGTTTCATCCCAGGAAAATGGTAACATTTGGCTTAAAAATGTCCCACCCGGAAAATCGTACAGGGTTTCCCCAGGGGTTGGGAATTCGCCTCTGAGATTTAAGCTGAAAAATTCAATATCAAGAAACCCAGCTGGAAAATCAGACAGGCCTTTTCCAGAGACTGGGAATTGCCTCTGGGAATTATTCTGGAAAATTCACTACCAAGAAACCCACCTGCCATAATTCTCTCAGCAGTAGCCATTAAATCTGTGGGTGCTTCCATTTATTCCCAATCCTTGCATTTACTCCCAATGCTTCCATTTATCCCCAATCCTTTCCCATTACAAAAATAATCCTTTTTTCACCTTTTTTTTTTTAAATTAACCCCCCATTTGGCTTAATTTATACCATTAAGGACATAATTACTATTATATGAATGATATTATATTATTTTCATTATATTTGTTACATTACATTCATTCTATGTATTCTATCACACTATGTAATCAAATTTAATTTAGTAAATATATTTTTATATTTTTCAACTTTATTTAATAAACAAATATTTTGATGTATTAATCACCATATTATTCAATAAACATACAAACAGTCTACATGTGAGAATATATTTAATAATTTTATTTGAACAGAAATAAATGTCTTTGTATGCAATATATACATATAGAAAGATACATTTACATATAAATAGGAATGTATTTACATAAATTTAATTTTTATATGAATATACAAATAGAGGATTTATTTTAATATAAAAAGCAGGGGAATGTTGGGAGCTGCTGGATTTTACTTAATTGCCCTGCTAGATTTTAATTAATTGCCCTGCTGGATTTTAATTGCCTTTCCTGACTTAAATTCCCGTCCCTGATTTTAATGCCACGGAAAAATGTGGAAGAGCTCAGAGAGCCTGGGAAGGGCACCTTCGTGCCAGGATTTGGTCCCAAACATTTGGCAAATATTTCCAAAAGAAAACAAATCCCAAACATCTGGAAAGCCCCAAATCCCTAAAACACAGCCTGGGTGCCCTTGGAATCACACCACAACAGGAATGTGCTCCAGAGGGACCTGGGCTGGCCTGGGTGCTGGGATGGACAAATCCCTGTATGGGATTCCTGGGAATTCCCAGCAGGGGAAAAGAGCAGCTGCCCAAAAGCCCTGGGAGTGGGCACAGGGAGAGGGAGAGGAGCAGCTGGGGGAGGCTGCAGCCAAACAAGGCAGCACCAGGAATCCCAGTATCAACACCAGCACCACCAGTACCAGCAGTGCAGCCAGAACCAGCAGCACCAGCACCAGAAAACCCAGTACAGCCAGAACCAGCACAACCAGAACCAGAAAACCCAGTACAGCCAGAACCAGCACCAGCAAACCCAATACAGCCAGATCCAACAAACCCAGTACAACCCGAACCAGCACCAGCAAGCCCAGTACAGCCAGAACCAGCAGTACCAGTAAAACCAGCCCCAGCAGCCACCCAGTCACTGCTGACTCATTTTTGGCCGGAGCTCCGGGCGCTGCTCCGTGGGGTTTTCCCTTCCTCCTCTGCCACCAAATTACCCAGCCCCCCATGACGTGGGGCTGCAGTTCCAGGAACTGCTCAGCTCCCCAAACCCCAGTTTCCAGACCGAGCCGGGAGCTGCTGGTGCTGCTGGGAGTGCTGGTGGCACCCACAGCCTCGCGCCGGCAGCGGGACACGGATCAGGCGCCCGGGATTGCCAGGCTGGTCCCCTCAGCTCGGCACCCTGCACCCCACGAAACTCATCCTGAAGCCATTGCCTGCCCTTCCCATGGAGACATTTATCCATCCCATGGAGACATTTATCCATCCCACGGAGATATTTATCCATCCCATGAGGCACTCACCGGATCCACGGCTCCTTCCCCACATCCTCCAGAGCGTCTGAGATGGGGAGAGGGAACATCCAGGACTGGGTATGTTTTCAGGGGAATGGGTGGAAAAATCCCAAAGTGCTGACTGAAGTTGTTTCCCACCATTAAATAATTGGGAAGGGGACAAGATCCGCCTTTCCAGTCTTAATCCCAGCGGGACAGCCATGCTTCTGCTGTTTCCCTGGGGAAAAATAAGAAAACAAGGTTTTTTTTAGTTTATGCTGCTTCAAAAACCTCTTCTGCTTCTTCTGTTCCAGAAACAGGGAATCACCTACGGAGGAAGCAGCACTGGGAATGCTGGAAGCAGGAGAAGAGTGGGATTTCTGCCCCTTTGCTCCCAGGTTTATGCCGGTGGGTTTTGGGCTGCAGGGTGGGAGATTTTGAGGATTAATGGGAATGACGGAGGGGACGTTGGGATGAGAGTGGAAACCTTCACTCCAGCATCCTTCCCTGGGCTGCAGGAACTGTCTACGTAGAGCAAGATAAAAATCCATCAGCCAGGGAAAACTGTAATTCCATTAATTTCAGTCTCACTTTCCCTCCGCTCAGAGCCCCCTACTTCCCAGGCACAGGAGCAAATTCCCCACACACCAATTCCCGTGGATGCCCTGCCATGGGATCCCTCCATGGATCCCAGACCAGACCAAATCCATCCCACATCCTACCTGGCCTCTCCTCACTGCAGCTCCCAGCCCGGGATGTGCCGAGGGTTTATAAGGCTCCGTCCCTCCCGCCAGGATGTGGGGAAGGAGATTTTCCCATAGCCCAGGGGCTCTCCCACTTCCCCCATCGGGAAAGGATCAGGGAGTTTTTCTCATCAGAAAGAGCTTTTGCTGGGAAAGGTCTCGTTTCCCAGGGCCTGGAGCCAAATCCATGGGGACTGTTGGCTGAGGAGCTTGGGAAGGGAATGAGATATCCCAGAACGGGAGTGGGAGGCTCTGTCACCCAGGGAATGCATCCCTAAGCTCTCAGGCACCTTGGATATTCTTCCAGCCTGGAAAGCCATGTTTTACTCCCATTCCCATATAAAAGAAGCTGTGACATCCCAGTAAATTCCCAAGGAAAGGCTCTGGCTGCATGTGAGGGATGGAAACCATCCCCGGGAACAGCTCCGGAGATGCTCACCCCACTCCAAGCCCTTTCCCTCCCAGCTAAGGGACCTTTTCCCTCTCTCCTGCAGCACGGGGGTGGCTGTCACCCTGCTGCTGTCCCCACTTTGGGTTTTCCCCACTTCTGTTCCATGGGTTTTCCCATTTCTGTTCCGTGTGCTCTGGAGCTGCTGTATTTTGGGAAAACAACGCGCCCCACGGTCGGCTTAGGGCAGGGCCGTGCTCCTGGATCCAGCTGGAGTTTGGAGATGACTCAGGGGCACGAGCAGCCCTGGGAGCAGTGACACAGCAGGGAGGGGGAGCCCCGGGGGTGACAGAGGGAAGGGGGAGCTCCGGGAACCTTAATGAGCCTTTTCCAAATCCACGCTAATCACACTTGGATTTGTGACACCACAGAGGCAGCTCGGATGCAGAGGGTTTGGCACTGAGTGCTCCATGGCCGTGCCATGGTCCAGCTGAGCATTCCAACCTCAATCCCTGTCTTCAGGACCTGCTGGTGGCTTTAACCCTTCCAGCACCATCACTGCAGCACAAGGAAAAACCCAGCAGAGCCTGAGGGAGCTGACATGGGATGAGCGACGGCCTGGCTCAGCTGAAGGAGGAAAACCACCCAAAACCATCCCTTTTTTTGTCCTCATCTGTGCCTTTCACCCATTTCTCATCCAGCTCCCTTGGCTGAGACTCCAGGGATCACAAACCTCCAAATGAACCCAGGAACTGTGGAATTCTGGAGGCGTCAGAGCACCACACTGGCTACAGTGGCACCAAATGCCTGGCTACTCCCCCCAAAAAACTGGGAGAGGGATGCTGCTCTTTGGCCAGTGCTTCCCACCGACATCCCTGGAGCTCCTCCCAGCACAGCACAGGCTGGTGGGAAATGCCCTTTCTGGAAAAAATCACACCACGAGCATCCTATGGGAAGGAGGAACATGAGGATTGGGAGTATTTTCCACTGTGGTGGGAAAACACTCAGCCTGCTCCCTTTCCACCTTTATTTCCACCCCCAATATTGCAACAAAACAGGAAAATGTGCTGGAAGTCATCAACATCGCCCTGGAAAATGCCAAATTGCCAGCCCAGCTTCCAGATCCAACTCTCCAGAAACCCCTGGAGCGGCTGTGACCTTTAGGGAACGCCAGAATCATCGCCAAAAATCCCATTTTCCTTTTATAAAGAAAGGGGTGGAGACTGCTCCCGCTGGATATTCCCAGTGGGATGGAGCTGCTGCAGGACTCAGATCCCCAAGAATCATGTCACACCGCTGCCTGCATCACCTGTGGGGTTCAGCCACATCCACCTGGGCAACGCAACGCCCCGAAGGATCCCTCGGGATGGCTGGAATCCCACGGGATCCGGCTGCTTTGCCGGGCATGCCGGCACCTGCCTTCCCGCAGAGCGAACAAACAAGTTGCTAAGTCACAGCAAAACCATGAAAGCAAAACCACAGAGCCCCAGAGCGCCTCTGAGTCACTCCCCGGCCGCCGCCACGGCCCCACAGCCCTCCCAAAATTCGCCGCCACCTGCAGCTGCTGATCCCTGCTCCAAGGGGCTGCTCCAGAGGCGCTGGGAAGCGCTTCCCAGCAGGGAAAGCCTCTCTGAGAGTGCACAGGATGGATGGAGGAGCCGAGGTGAGGCCCAAACCAAGCTGGCAGCCCCCACTCATCCCTTCTCTCCTGTGAGATGAGATTTTAAGAAATCCTCACCTGGATTTTGTGTGGTTATCGAGCGGTGCCGAACAGCGGCAGGGCCGGGGCTGGAGCCGAGCCCCGGGCTCCGAGCGCTCCCGGGATTAGTCACCGGTGGCAGCGGCGCGGCTGACATGACTCACGGAGGTTTGGCCGCCCAGTAAACCCGGGATTTTCGGGTTCCCGGCTCTGGGGTTGTCCTGGGGACACCTTTCGGTAACCGGGGCCCGGTTCTCAGCCGCCGCCCGGCGCCGCTGCTTTGCCGTGGGATTCCCGGCAGCTGGAATGGCGGGATCGGCCCCAAACAGCCGTGTCCCGTTTGTGCCTGACTGGGAATTGCCATGGAAGCATGGGATGCAGCCGGGTGACGGCGGGCCCGGTGGCGAGGCCGACAGAGGTCACTGTTGCCGAAAAGTTGCGAGCCCCAGCCAAAAAACCCCAAAGGGAACTCGGTGGGGAGGGCGGCGATGGGGCCGGGCTGGAACAGGCAGCCGTGGGACATTCCCGGGAATGATGCACCGGGAAGCGCAGCCGGCACCGCGACCCTTGGGATGGGATGGGATGGGATGGGATGGGATGGGATGGGATGGGATGGGATGGGATGGGATGGGATGGGGAAGCCGCGCTCTGCCCGCAGCCACCGCGGGACACCCCAGGGGCCGCCCAGCGGGACTACAGGAGGATGATGAGGATAATTCCCCCCTGGAGAGGGAATGTGCTGCCGCCGGATGATCCCGAGGGTGAAAGCCGAGCCAGAGCAGGAAAAGGAGGGAGCCCGGGGCTGCTGAGCCCCTGGCAGAGCCCCTCAGCTCCGGGACATCCCACGGGACACACAGGCACCCCAGGGAACCGCAGTTTGGGATGCGCTGGATGGCAGGTGGAGAGCGGGAGAGGCAGGAGGGGAACTCGCTGCCACCTTTCCCGGCCCAAATCCCAGAGGAGAGCACAGGACGAGCGGGAGAGGGCGGCACAAAACACCCCAAAAAGGTGACTGAGCGCTGCGGGGGTGGGCATGACGCCAGCGGAGCCCGGCCCCCGTTCCCAGCTGTGCCATCGTCACGGCATCAGGGAATGACTGGGGTGGGAATGTTCCACACAGCCCATCCCGTTCCACCCCTTGCCATGGGCAGGGCCACCTTCCCCTCGGCGAGGTTGCTCCAAGCCCCGTCCAACCTGGCCTGCGACGCTTCCAGGGATGGGGAATGGCATTACCCGGGTGCAGGACCAGGGAGAACCCCCACATCCACCCTCCCCGCAGCGCTGCCTCCCTCCCTGCGGCTCCCGGAGCATCCCTAAATCCCTCCCGGCTCCACACCGCCTCCGGGACGAGGCAAAGCGCGCACCCCGAGCAGCAGCCCGCGCTTCCATGGATTTTTTTTTTCCCCCTTCCCCCGCAATTCCTGGCAGCAGCCGAAGGGAGCAGCGCCTTACCGTGGGCCGGGAGTTCCCGGTGTTCCCGGTGTTCCCGGGAGGAGCCGGAGGCGCAGCCCGGCGCGGTAACGGCTGCCCCGATCATTGGTCCAGCTCACGGAGCCGCTGCTTTCAAATTCTGCTCGAGCCGCGGAAGGAAACAGGAAGCCCCAGAGCTCCTCGCCAGAGCCTCCCGCGCCCACCCCCGCCCGCGGAGTCGCCTCCCTGGCCAAACGCTGGGAATGGCGCTTTTCCCGCATCCGGCGGAAACCGGGAGCATCCCGGCAGGGAGTTGCTGGAGATGCTCGGTTTCGTGTTGCTCGTCGTTTTTATTCGTGGTGGAATGAATCGCCGGGTTCCAGCCTGCCCGGCCACAAGGCAGCGTCACCCTTGGAATGCGGGATAAACCCCATGGGGACAGCAAGAGGATTTAGGACACCTCCAGGTTCCTCAGCTTTCCACCCCAAATCCAGCATTTGGATTTTTGGCTCTTTTTCCAACTAAGATGAACCCAGAGGCTCATTCTGGGGCTGGGGTACAGGCTTGAGGAGGCAAAAAAAGTATTTGTCCTTGGAAAAGTCGGGGGGAATTGAATTCCCCATCCCCGGAAGCGTTTGAGGCCAGTGTTGGATGGGGATTTAAGGAAGGTGTCCCTGGCCATGGTCTTTAAGGTCCTTTCCAACCCAAACCATCCCAGGATGCCATGAAAGCCCACTGTCATTCCCTCTGGAAAATTAGCACTTCATGCTTCCCATTTCCTCAGTTTAGAAGGAACTTCCCTGAGCTGCACCCACCTTCCAGGGGAAGGAACATCCAGGATTGCCCCAGGAGACCTCTGGGCTCCTCTGATTTCCCATCGGATCATGGGTTCATTGAATCCACAAAAGGAAGGTGCTTGTGGTGCTTAATTAAACTAATTAAACTGTTTTTATTAAATTAGAGAAGTTTCTGAACAGTTTAAAAAAAAGGGATGAGGGTTGGAATTTGGCACAGGCTCTGCGTCCTTCAGGACACCTCAAGCAATTGGAAAAACTGTTACTACACAATAAATTTGTCATTTATAAGAATCAGGTTTGTATAATTTTCCTGCTTTTGCTCTCTTTTTAACCACACCTGGTTGTCCTCCTCCCTCCATTTGACCCTTTCCAAAATCCTTGAGGATTTGGGAAAAAACAGGGAGAAATCAGCACAAATTCCACAGAACGGGATTAAATTTGGAACCACAATAATCAGAATCCAAGCCTTTGGCTCTGGCTGAGTAATCCCTCAACCTCTGGCTGCTTTTCATGGAGTAATTCCATGTGTTTGGCGACGAGTTAAGGATTTGCTCTGCTTGGAACCAACAAGAAACGAGCCCTGCTCCAAGTTCATCCAGGGGGATACACAAGGAGGAAGGGAAAACAAAGTGTTTAAACCAGGAATTAATTCCATTGTCTGAAAATAAGATCCACCACAAGCAAAGGAGCTATACAGCCAAGGAAAAGCACCATTCCCAGCCAAGGTCTTTCCCAAGCTCCCCACAGAAACCACACATTTGCAAACAAACCTTCGTTACAAAAGTAAATTTATTATGACCTCACTTTTATACCTCTTTTTTTTAAATTCCTCATAACAATTTATAAATAACTCCTGGTCGTGGTTGCCACAGCTGGGGGGCGAGTCTGCTGTTTGGGAAGGTACAAAAAGAAGGAGATTTTGGGAAGCTTGGTGGGATTACAGCACCATGGCCTGGGGGTTCCCGAGGAGCAGCGGCGCCAGGCGCAGGAGCGCCCGCACGGGCACGTGCAGCCTCCTCAGCTTCAGCAGCAGCTCCGAGAAGTTCCTGCTCCCTAGAACATCCAAAGCAAAGGAAAAGGGTGTAAAAACGAGCAAAGTTTTGTGCAAAATTGGAGGGGAAGGCTTCAGAGAGCTCTGGAGGTGTCACCCCGTGGATCCGTTTGTGTTGCGCTGGTTGGAAAGTGAAGTTCTACAAGAGATCTCAAATCTCCTTGAAAAGAGATCCCAAATCCAGGAAGAGGGAGAACACAGAGGAAAAGAACACCCAGAAGAGAGGTGTGTAACAGACAACTGGAACCTTCCATGCCCAGACACAGGAATTTGTGGCTGGCACAGGATTCCTGGGATAGGCCCCCAGTCCCTCATGGATGTGGTGACATTTCTGCCCCAGCCCTAAGCAAGGAATAGAGCTCCCAAAATTAAGGTCCAGCTGCCTTTCTTTTCCCTTAGTAACCTCAGGACTGGTGTATTCCCAGGCTGCTGGAGAGCAAGGAAAAGCTGCCCAGTGAAAGGATGCAGGATTTCCCCAAATCCCAGTTCCAGACTCACCTTCCAGGCCTCCAGCTGCCAGCTGCCCCGGTGTGGGCACAGAGTGGTAAATCAGGAAGCACGCCAGCATGCTCAGCTGGGATTCCTCTGGAGCCTGCCCGCTCAGGTAGGAATGCAGGGACACGTCCCCTCCGGCTGCAAGGCACAAGGAATACCTTTGGTGACATTTGGGAAGCAGGATTTCCACAGAGGGATCCCGGTGAAGCCTCCATTCCCCACAGGAGGTGGGCTGGGAGGCTGTTTTCCGACCTCCCTCCTTCTGCCATGGCCACCCTGCTGTGGTCACCGTTTGCTTTTGCTCCAGGAAAATTCTCCCTATGCAAGATGAGGAAGAAATTTTCTCTGGGAAACATCACCTTCCCTGCTAAAAACTTCCCACCACTCCAAGCAAACAATTCTCCAGGGAATGTTCCACACCACACTGAAAATGCCCTCCCTTCCCTCATCAGTTTTCCATACTTTTGAGTCAAAAATCAACGTGGATCAGCCAGACAAGAACCAGGTGAGCAACAGGGGATGGAATGAGATGGTCTTTAGGTCCCTTCCAACCCAAACCATTTCAGGATTCCAACACTGGTTGGGTTGAAATTCCTCCTTACATTGAAGCCACTGATCCAAGGTGTTATCTATGGTGCACTTCATCACCGGCAGGAATTCCGAGTTCATGAAGAGCCCTCGGGTTGGATTCCTGCTCATCCTCTCCTGGTGGCTCCGGGAGCTGAAGAATTCCAGCACCAGCTTCATCTGCCACAGCTCAAAGGTCTCGGACATTTCCCGCCTTTCCAGCCTCCTCACAGCCTGGGAGCAGGAATTGGAGCAGGAATGTAACAGGAAGCAAATGACTCCTCGACCCCTGCCCTCACTCCTCTGGAACAGCACACGGAATGGCCACTGTTGCTCCCCAAAAAGTGGGAAAAAGTGTTGTTTCCAACAGGAACAGGAGTTTCCTACCTGGTCGATGGCGATGTACGTGGGCAGCATCTCCGGATTCTCCTGGGTCACGCACTCGTAAAGGATGGAGGAGAAAAGGTCCAGGATTTCCTGTTTCTGAGGAAAGACAGGTGTCAGGCAAAATTTATTCCAGGTTCCTGCCTCCACTGAAGTTAATCCATGCAGTGGAATCACAAGAATTTGGGATAATTAATGATACCACTTGACTTCTTCCTTGTGATAATTAAACTGGGTTTCATGCCCTCCCTTAAATAATTTAAAAAGAAATTCCATTCTGTGACTTTCCCTAAATGCTTCATGGCTCTCTAGTTTTGTTAAATGCATTCCTCAAGGAATGGGACAAAAAATTCCAATATCAAACCAACAGGAATCAGAGGATCACCCTTGTATTACACAACATCCTGCAGGATATTCCCTGCTCCTGCTGACTGCAGGGCTAAATTCTGCTTCAGTTTAAGGCAGGTTTTCCCTACTTTTTATCCATGGAATAAGTGTTGGCCCAGACCAACACCTCCTACCTGGCCCATGTCCACAGTTGGTTTGCAGAAATAATCGGCGAATGAAAAGAGAGCGGGATCGGAAGTGAAAGCGGAAATTGCCTCTGGCTGGAAAAAAAAATAAGGAATTAAAACACATTCCTAAAATGAACTTTTTGAAATTGTGCACAAAGACGGCAACAACTGATTTCCCAAGCGTCCAGAACACAAGGGAGAAAACTGGAACCC